TCTCTTACAGGTATTTTATTTTTAACTTTTATAAGTCGTTAGAATGTATTATATCTTAGATATTTTGTTTATATTGATTGTTTTGTTGTTATTTGAAATAAATTTGTACTTTGTTATAATAAATGAATATTATACTTCTAAATAATAAATGTATTTTCATTCTATTATCATTGTTTGGTATTTAAATAAATAAATAAATAAGAAATGCGTTTTTAATTTTGTCCTGAGGCTTGAACAACAGTAAAGAATAAAATAGCACAAATACTGTAAAATGAAAGGAAATTGTATCAATTTTTGAAAATTACCAGTCATATGCACAGAAGCTGAACAATTTGAAAAAAAGCTGAAGCTAATCCCGCGCTTTAATTCTGAACTTGAAAAAAGACCCAATGCAACTTATGCTCTCCTAATACAAATGTTAAAATTTATGAAAAATTTCGGTTTCGAGCCAAATACGAGGGTTATTCAAGAAATAATAGAAAAATCAAAATTTGTTTTTTTTATTTGCTTGCGTAACTTTTTGACCCACCCTCGTATATGACGAAAAATTGAAAATTGTGTTAAATTTGAAAATTTGTATTAGGAGAGCATAAGTCGCAAAAGATCTTTTTCAAAGTACCAATTTTTAGCGCGGGATCAAGTATATAGCAGTCTTGTTTTTCGTTTTTGATAGTACTAGAGCAATTAAACGTTTCAAGGCCGAATGATGAAGAAAAATGAGAAACGACTGCTATATAGTTGATCCCGCGCTAAAAATTGGTACTTTGAAAAAGATCTTTTGCGACTTATGCTCTCCTGATACAAATTTTCAGATTTAACAAAATTTTCAGTTTTGCGTCATATACAAGGGCCGGTCGAAAAGTCAGGAAAAAAATACTTCAGAAAGACCTTTTGCGACTTATGCTCTCCTAATACAAATTTTCAGATTTAACAAAATTTTCAGTTTTGCATCATATACGAGGGCCGGTCGAAAAGTTATGGAAAAATATACCTTTAAAAAGACCTTTTGCGACTTATGCTCTCCTAATACAAATTTTCAGATTTAACAAAATTTTCAGTTTTACGTCATATACCAGGGCCGGCCGAAAAGTGATGGAAAAACAAAATTTCAAAAACCAATTTTTGATTTTTCCATTACTTTCTGACCAACCCTCGTATTTGGCTCAAAACTGAAAATTTTCATAAATTCCAAAATTTGTATTAGGAGAGCATAAGTTGCATTGAATCTTTTTCCACGTTTAGAATTAATGCGCGGGATTAACTTTACCTTTCTTACAAATAGTTCAACTCCTGAGCATGTGATGGCTCTGGTAATTTTCACAAAAATTTAACGTAATTTCTTTTCTTTTTACAGTATTTGTGCTATTTTATTCTTTACTGTTGTTCAAG